ACACCGCCCGGGCGCAGACGGAGCCGCGCGGCCGCGAGCCCGGACTTTAAGAACTGTTGAGTCGCCCGGGCCGAGTCTTCCAGCTAGTTCCGACGCCGTCGTTGTCGCCAACCAGCCTTGGCCCCGCCCCCCTTGTCCCTCCCCACTCTCTCCCCCCTCCCGCGGGCTCTTCAGGAAATGACGTCCCGCTTTGCGCGCCTGGCGGTTGCTTGGAAACGGGGTGAAACAGTCTAGCCCCGGAGAAGAACGCGGCGAAAGTGGGGTAGGGGTGGGAGGAGCCCCGGGAGCCCCTGAGCTTCCCCTTCTCCAGCCTCAGGGGCTGGAGAGAGCAGAGGGGGTGGGGGTTGGCTCAAAACTGGCTCTTCAGCTGTCGCAGCGTGTGCACCAAGATCTCATTAAAGCAATTAGCTAGCTAGCTAATTTACAATTGTCAGGAAAAATAACCAACTTTTTGCTTTTTGCCTCTAAAATATTGGACGTTTCATTCTCGGTTTTCAATTTTAAAACGTTGCGCTCCCCTCGTGCACATGCGCTGGCATACAAGTTCAAGGGTTTATGTGGACGCTTGTTGGGCACCTACTGTGTGCAAGGGATGAATGCAAGCATGTATCGGTGCCTGCGGGAGTCAACACCTGTGCGGGGATAGATCGGACTAGACCCCTGCCCTGTCTCCAGTGTGGGGCAAAGCCGGCTTCGGAAATACAAGTGCACTCAAAACACATGCACGCACAAACACATGTAGACACATGCGTGTGCATATAAAACTGGTGAAATCTGAATAAGGTGGGTGGATTGTATCAATGCCAATGTCTTGGTTGTTATCTTGTCAACATAAGGGGAAACTGGGTGAAGAGTACGTGGAATGTCTATATTATTTCTCATAGTTGCATGTGGATCTACGATGATCTCAAAATAAAAATAAAAATATATATATATGTATGTGTGTGTGTGTGTATATATATATATATATATAAAGTGCATTGTGAAAAACGTATTTTAGGTTCTCCCATCCCAAGACAAGATGGGAAGATACTCCAAGGCATGGCCTAGAGTTTCTCATCACCCACCCAATTCCCCAAATACAATCTAAGTAAAAGTCCTGTGCTTTTATTCAAAGGGGGCTTTCTAAGGAGCTGCATAGTGCCCCCCCATATACACCTCACATACAGTCCCTTCCAACCCCAATTGCCTCTCCTAAGCTATTGTCCTATAAAAAGCCGTGTTTTCCCTAAAACTGTTCTGAAATGCCATTGCAGAGCCCCCTGACTTCTATCTGGGGGAGGGAGGAATAGAGTACTACCTGGAGAAGTAGGTTTGAGCTAGACCCAGAAGGGTGGATTATATATTTATTTAGTCACTCTTCATTCTACATTTTCCAAGCACCTATTCTGAGTTGGTCACATGGTGGGTGCTGGAGACTCAGGTTAAAGAGACAAAGGCTCTGACCTCAAGGAGTCACAGTCTTGCAGGGGAGGAAGATCACTTAAACAAATAAAGCTAAAAACCAGAATGATAAATGTAATGGCTGAGGGAGGCCAGTTTTCGGGGCAGATAATATGGTGAGGACTTTACTGGTAAGGTGACACCTGATGAGGATTCCCTGGACTTTCTTCCCCGGACAATAAGGAACCATGGAAAGATGTTCAACACTGTTTGCTTAGTGCATTCCCCAAACTGAAGCAAGGAATTGAAGCTAAATTTTCCCTGAAGACCTTTAATTCTCTTCTTTGCTTCCCTAAAACAAGCCTGTATTAAATTAATGCCCCCCCAAAATAAAAAATAAATTAATGCCCAATGAACATATCTGACAGTGTGTCTGAGGAAGATTTTTGCATAGCCAGTTAGGCTACTCTTGGGCATCTATCTATCTCACAGCTCTAAGTTTGGCAGTTAATGGTGTGTATCCTTATTCCTTATTTTAAACTGCTATTGAGGCCTTTGATGCAACTAGACCAAGATATTTAAGAAAAAAATCAATCTTTTCCAACCCCCAGATGTATCAATGGCATACCTCAAAATGCCACCAAGCAGGGCTTAATTGCATGCAGTTCAGGTTTTCTGCAAATGTATTTCGTGCTTAGCTCTTACTTAGTTTGTGCCCTAATTATAATTACTGTGATTGGCTTGATAAATGCTTCTCAGGAGCTAAGATCCCCATTCTCAACATTTTATTTCTGTGCAAAGGGTGTTTTCTAGAAGGTGTTTTGCTCTAGGCAGCAGAAACCACATTGCTTGCAGTCTTGGTAGAAAAAGAAACACTTCTTCTGCAAACATCAGAGACCATCTGGGACGCTGTGCTATTGTTTAATTTCATAGAGGCCAATTTGGGAGGGTAGACAGTGTGAGAGCATAGAAAAAGAAATGCTTGGGGTTTCTTCCATCCGTCTTGCATAACCACCTTCATATCAGTTTGCACTGTGTACCCTAGGATGCAAGGCAGTGTGTAACTGTGCTCAGACCTCAAGAATCCTATTTCATGTCTGAAGATGTGTTTGTCGTTCAGAAATGAGCTCCTAGAAACCCAAGATGCCAGGGCTCCTGAGGGCGGCACTGCTTCCAGCCTTCAGGATCTGGAAGGGAACCCTGAGTACATGGCTCGGCTTTGGTTGCATACTGCCCTCTTCAGAAGGAAAATATTATTCTCCCGTGTGTGCTTCAGGGTTCCCTTCGCTTTCTTCACAAAAGCCACTTTAAATTGTTCGTTATTGCTTCCCAACTCTGGCCAATCAATGCCCCTCCCCTATGGATGTTCCTGGAAATTTGAACGTGCTGAGGCAATTGAAAAGACAGAGCAGAAGAGTGAATTGTGTAGTGCTTTGCACTTAGCACAACTTAGAAATGCTTTGTGTTGAACTGGATTTTCGTTTGTTTCTTATGTGTTTGTTTTAACCAAGAGGCAACATACTAAGCTGTACTCTAGATATTAGGCAGAGAACCATTATTCCAGCCTCAGAGCTTCCCTTTAACTAGTTGTGAGACCCACCTGTAAAATGGGTCTCCTATGCCTTCCCTGACTCCCCAGAGGGCAGCTGCAACCTGCTTGTTTCATGTCCTGTGCAGAAATGAAAGCATGTTGCGATGCATAGAGTGTCAGAAAGTTGTTAGTTGTTTCCCCCTCTTTTTTACGGCAATCTTAAAAAAAGGCTCTTTCGATTTTGTAGTCATTTGGAGATTCTCACCTTCCCTCTTATCCACTGGAAGGCAATAGAGATTAATTTGAAATGCATTTCCCATGGGGCAAATAGAAAAATATAGCTAATGTTTACTCAGTGTCAAACACTGTTCTAAACACTTGTATTTTAACTCACTCAATCTTCCCACTATTCTGTAAGGGAGATACCATCATCATCATCATCATCACCGCCACCAACATCATCATCATTCTGGTAAAACAGACAGGGCACTGCGACATAAGGAAGTAACTATACCCAAGCTTACAGAAGTTTTGAACTCAGATGGTCTGGCTCCAGAGCCGTTACTCTCAACCACTGTGCTGTGCTGTCTCCCACGAGTTTGGGTCAGAGATGCTGAACTGTATGAGGAACTGGTATGAGGGACTACATTTTCCCACAAGTGGGAGTGATCTGAGAACCACGTTCTCTCTAGAAAGTTGGGCTGGGAACATCAGAGGTTAAAAACAAGCCATACACAAATGATTCCTGGCTGGTAAGCTGACGTTTTATAGTGGAAAGAATGAGCAGGGATTCAGTAAAGAAGACATCATTGAGAGAGATAGACTTGGAAAGGATTTGGGGGAGCCCCAAGGTTCTTGGCCTGGGCGCAGGAGGAGGCTCAAAACTATCTGATGCTGGGTGTCATAGGGAACCTTTTCTGGCTCTGCAATCCCTGGAGAAAGGACATTAGCAACTGGAATCATCACTTCTGCTCCAGGACCACAGCCTGTCTCTTTCTTGCAGTGACAATGAGGATGGTATCAGCAGAGAAAAGGGAAACCGTCACTGCTAATGACTGGTAGATAATGCAGATGATATTGATTGATGGAAATGCAGGGAGATAAGAAGGAGGTAAGAAAAAGAGAAAACAAGGGGCTCGCTGGTTAGCTTACTTGGTTAGAGCATGGTACTGATAACACCAAGATTAAGCGTTCAGATCCCTATACAGGCCAGCTGAAAAAGAGAGAGAGAGAGAGAGAGAGCACAAAAACATCAGGAAAAGAGGAGAGATATAGTTATTTATCTTGGCCCGGGTATAATTTCCAAAGAGCCTGTCTCATGGTCATGGTGAATCATGTGATGTTTGTGCAGGAAGGGCTCTGGAGCATAGAGTTGATCTCCAGGTGTAAATTGCTTCTCTGCTATTCATTACCTTTGTGACCTTGGGCAAATCACGTAGGGCTTTTGCACCTGAGTTCCCTTACCTGCAAAATGGAAACAGTGGCACTGCCATCAGCATTATTGTGAGTATTGGTTGAGCTCATGTATGCAACATTTTATCACTGTGCCTGGCACATACCAGGTGCTCCCATGATGCGCAGCATCCATCTCAGAACTCTTA